GTTTTCGTGAAATCCTGGATGCCCATTGCCCAAGAGTACTGTGTGGCACTAACTCCAATAAATCCTCATACATCTTCCAGTGCTGGTGTTTAGGAGTTTAGGAAACATTGTAAAACAGTACAAAGCTTATTTATTAGCTTGTTTTCCCATAAAGTTCCTTCAGGCTTATTTTCCATCAACAGACCTTCTAGCCGAGGCAGGTTGCTTCAGATTAATGCAAAAATTATCCTTGCTGTACAAGACGCACGACACTGGAGCTCTTAAATATATTTATACTCACATTAATAAACAACAGTGTGACTCAAACTGTCATCTTACACAACCATTACGCTGGCCTGCAGCTGGCCTGGAAAACACTTACACAGGAGGAATTTTCTGGAGAAGTCATCAATTGTTTTTTGGGTTTTCTTTTTTCGTAACAGAGTGCTTTACGTGACTCTGACAGCTATGATGACCACTCAGAAATGAATATTGATCTTTGTTATGACACTTACATTGTATTTAAAACTGCAGTATGAGGAATGAAGAGTTTGAGGAGATGTCACTGCATTTTAGTCAAGATTTACGAGTGCCTTATAAAACAGAATTACTCCTACAGACACAGATAGACATAATAGACATGTAAAAGTGGGGAGTGTGTCATGACATCATGCTATTAAACATCCTTTAGCTCACTTCATTGCCCTGCACGTGCAGCTTTCTGTATATAGCTGCAACAATGTTGATTTTTTTTTCCCTGTTGCCTTCGTGATTGGCTAACTGGGACATTTCACTGGGTCACTGACATATCATTTGATGCTGGATTATGAGCGGCATCGTTTATTTGTATTTGGTGTGAATAGTGACTTCAGATGGGAGATTATGAATAGATGTTGATTGTATCTGTCAGGATGCATAAAATATACTAATCCGGGTCCTCGCTGCTATCTGGAGCCAGTAACTGTATACAAACTGTAAATTATCCTCTGGGTGTCTCCCCCGTTTTCGGCACTGCCTGAATTAACAGCGTCCAGAGGACAGAAATGCGCTTCCACGAGGGCAAACATTTATTTACGGTAGATTTACAAATTATTATGTTTTAAAACTAATGTTGCATTTAAAATGTTTAAACAATGATAAGTTCGTTTGGTGTTTCCAAATAATAATAAAAAATTAGCTACATATTGATATTAATCGTCTTTTATTTTCGCAGATTATTCTTTTGGACAGCAGCTGCTATTAACCTTCATGAAAATAAAAAAATAAATGTAACAAAAGTTACCTACATTATTTTTCTGAAATGTATTGCTGTTTGTGTTAGTTGAATCTTCTAGTTGCACTGTTTACAAGCAAACAGCCAAGCATGCATCGCACAGAATATCTTTGTTAATAGTGTGGCTATTAACGTAATAATAATAATACGATTTTCAAGGTAAGAAAACATTTTATTTACAACATTTTCAGTGCAAATGATTAACAAAATAGCATATTTATTATATATATATATATATATATAATATATATACTATTATATCTATAATATATATATATATATTATATATATAGTATATATAATATATATATATATATATTATTAACATGAACACGGCGTGGATGTTCCTGATATCTCATTCATAACGTGAAACGAGTGGTTCATAACCTCAAAATAAAATTCACAACCCCGTATTTCCTTCGCATGAGGAAAACATCATGCACACAGAAGCTCTTGAGAGGAAAACGACAGTAAGCAGACACTGGAGGAGGCCGGAAGTCTGCCTTTTATTTCTTTTCTTTTTTCTTTAAACTTTACGTGCACTGTGGTTTTATTATAAGGCCAAAACAGAGATCAAATTTAGTAAAATTCACACCATAATCTGCAGCATGCTGGGTGTATTTTGCAATAAAGCTGTCTATTTGCGTCACGTGTTTCCAGGAATTAAACCGACCTTTCAAGCTTAACTTCTCCACCACAGCAGCGGGAAGTGATACTGCTTCCCCGGCGTCTGAACATACTGTCGTTCTTCTGTCAGATTTTTTGTTTTTTTTAATAAATTCTCATTCTTCTAATGATTGTTCGTGACCTAAATACGTCCTCATATTAGCACCTGTGATGCCGCTGTGTCTGTGACTGTGGCCACCGTCTCTGTGCTGCTCGCCGGCGCGCTCCCGCTCATGATCACGCTGGGCTTATTGTGCTCAGAAATGTCCAAGTGTCCATCAGCGCTTTCCTCCCCGGCCTCGTCGGATTCACAATCGCTCCCGCCTTCGCTCTCACACTCAGACTCCAGCGGCTCTTTGGGCTCCCTGCCGCCGGACTCAGACAGACTCTTCTCGCCCTTCTCGTCCTTCTCCTTGTCCTTCTGGGCCTGCGCTTCTTTGGAGTGTCTCCACTTCATGCGTCTGTTCTGAAACCAAACCTTCACCTGAAAGCAAACATTTAAGTCAGGAAGCGTTAAATTCTTGTACTCCCCTTCCCCTAAACAACCCCTAAACCTTCACACAAACTGGAGCAGCATTTCAAGGGTTAAACAGTTTTTGTTCAAGGAAAAAAAAATCCCAATATTTTCTTTCTTTCCTCTCTTGTTAAAAATGAAAAATAGTCGACACAATTCAAGGCAAACCACTGCCCAGGAACATTTCACTTTACCAGGTGAATCCCACTGGTACAAAGGAGCAGTCCAAAAGCAATAAACACCACAAATGCAAATGCAAAAGCAAAAGCTATAAAACCTCTGCAGATGACAAGAAGTTGGAACCCTCATATAAAATATATCCTCAAATGTGACATAATAAAAATATATGATTAATTAAATATGAGAATCTCTTTCTATTTTAGTTATTAGCATTAATGTTGCTTGGTGAGATTAAATGACGCTAAGTGAAGAAATGCAAACACAAAAGAAACGTGGCGAAAGGTTGCCCAATATAGGGTGAGATCTGACACATGGCAGAAGGCCTCTTAGCCAATCACATTGCACCATACAGTCACAATGCTGCCTGAGGTGGAGGTAAAAGCCTGTTAGGATTTCAGCTTTGTTACTCATTTCCTTTTTTTTCTTTGTTCTTTATATAAACGAGCCCAAAAAAAGACAGAAAAATGAAGAAGAAAAAAGATTGAAAACAACCTTTTTGGAGAATTACAAATGTGGGGAGGCACAAAAATCATCTGACCTCTTCACTGGCTGCAAGTGAGGACGCTGAGTTTGGCAACAGCTGGGTTAACTATCTTACAGTGAAGTATGAGAAACAAGCACACTGTGGGTATTTTACAGTGTGTGCAATGATTTAGAGGGCAGAGAGGTCAGCTTTTAGAGCAGGGGAATTAGGCTAAACATAAACTTTGACTGGGCAATTTTATGGGGGTAAATGGGTTCATAACTCGAGTGTATTTAAAATGCCTCATGTCTTGTTGCCTTGACTTCTCCTGGATCTACTTTAAAAGATACCTTAGGTTATGTAAAATAAATATATGAAAGCGGGTTTACGTGAGCTGTTGATAAAATAAATAAAATAAATTACTAATCTGCAAAATCTGTCTCTGAGATAATAGTAATAATAATAATAATAATAATAATAATAATAATAATAATAATAATAATAATAATAATAAGAAGAAGAAGAAGAAGAAGAAGAAGAAGAAGAAGAAGAAGAAGAAGAAGAAGAAGAAGAAAACAATGACTAAAACAGGCCAGTGCAGGCCCCATCCTCCTGAGTAAACACTGCATCTTACCTGAGCGTCTGTCAGTCCCAGCATGGCAGCCAGCTGCTTTCTGTCTGGCTTGGTGACGTACTTCTGTATTTCAAATCTTTTCTCCAGTCCTTTCCTCTGCAGGTTTGAAAACACTGCTCTGGACCATGACCTTTTCCTCTTGTACGTCTGAGGCATCGTGTCTTTTGTGAGGACAGCGTATGGACCTAAATGGAGAAAAAAGAAAGAAAAGGACAAAAGAAAACACGATGAGGTTAAAAAAAATAGACTCCAACAGCCATAGTGGACATTCTCAGCAGGTGTGTCACACATTAAAAAAGATATTAGATTTTTTTCCGTCTGCTACAGTCCTATAGTGTGATGTCTACCTGGGAAGGTGTCCTGAAACTGATGCTGGCCTGATTGTCTGCTGCTGCTGCTGCCTAGTGAACTCATCATGGAGGACGCGTCGCTCATCCCGTGGTCTATGGAGGAGAAGAACTGGCTGGCTGAAGGCTGAACGGGGACGTGGATGCCTGACTGACGGTTCGAGCTAACGATGGATGCGAGATCTGTTATAGAGAGCGAGAGATGAGGGGCTTCAGTCAGCACACAATTATCGCAGAGACACACACTTACACCTCCGCTCTTTTCTGCTGGGGGCAAACATTGTCAAGTTTAAAATAAAGTTTGGGGGGATGGGGGGGACCTTTCTGACTTTATAACCCGGTTTTGATTTGGTTAAAGTACTGCGTAACAATCTTCCAGCTGCGTTGTTGAAGTTTGAAGCTGATCCTGACCTCTGACCTCTTGTTAGGGGGGGCAAGAGAGGAGATTTCCCCACAGGACTCGTTAATGCGAGACTATGTGCGCCCGGACTCTGTCACCAATCTGTCAGTGCTATAAAGTGGAGCAGGTTGCTTCTGGTTTCAGTTTCTAAGCTTTGGATGTGATTTTGTGTTGTCTTCTTGTACAGCTATGTGGTATGATAGAAATATCTAAGGTAATAAACACACCCCTGTTTTGTTGTTTAACCGCCTCTAAAATGTAACTTGAGTGGGATAAAAACCTCTCCGCTCACCTCTTAGTGACGACTTTTCTTTGCATTTTGGATCAAAGTCTGTTGACAGTATCCGATCAATTCCAAATTTGAGGTCTTTGCTTGAAGGCGGGGGGACTTGTTGGGAGTTAAATGCCGTTCTGGGTACTGATGTTAGTTGTAGTCCGTGTCTGTGGTAGGGTGACGCCGGATTCACCCTGGCACCGTACGGCTCCGGCGCAACGGGAGAAGGGCGCAGCGGAGAGTTGCCCGAGTGCCCCTGCTGTGCGCGATGGTGGTGGTGTCCCATGTGCACCATGAGGGCCGACGATCCTGAGATGTTCTCCGCATCTCCAGCCTGCAAAATGTCTGCGATGCAAAACGAGGGTTTCTTCATGGTATCCACAGCGAAGCCCCCCGCGCAGTACGCGGACCAGAGGCTGAAGTTTGATGCATAAAACGGATTGAGCCCGGCCGTGTACATCCCGGAGCTTCTAATGCGTCGCGCTGTTGCTCAGAAGTGGGTATAAAAGGACAGGCATGTAAAAAAGCACGGGTAGCGTTTTAGGAGGAGGACAGATGATCGTGCTCTTTGTGTAAGTGCCAAATCGCTCTCTCAACTCTGAAATCCTAACCCTGCAGTTCCACTCTGAAGTTTCTCCGCTGACACTGATTGGTCGCTGTCGGAGCCAATGGATGTTTTGCATTTGCTCACATCACGCCCTTGTAAATGAGGATGATGTGTAACATAGTCTCTCTCTCTTTCACACACACACACACACACACACACCACACATGACACACACACACACACACACACACACAACTACACACACAAACACACAGAACACAACACACACACACACACACACACATGACCGGGGCTCGTTGGAGCAATTTTGATCCTGAGATGATGGATTGATCACTTAAAGAGAACATCCTCCTCACTCATATCACCACATACAAAAACAGTCATTACGCACAGGGACTGTCACGTTAATTTCGATTCTTCTTCGTGGAAATTGACGCGGACTTTAAATATAGGTCTGTTTTTTGTCTTCTTTTTTTAAACAAAACAAGTTTGCAATGAAAACGAAAGACGGGCAACACGCAGTGATGCGAAAATCACTATTTAATAATGAACTGTCAACTGTTAAAACCCCGGGCCCAGGAGAGTCTCTATTAGCTCCATCTCATCCTGTTTTTGATGGGCTGTGATTCGTGTTAAATGAGCGGATATGCCTGCTAGATTTGCCCCCAAAATAGAACATGTTTTAGTATTTTAGGATACAGCAGAAATCCTTATTTCTTCCGGAGCTGAGGGGGGGAAACTTTATAATGACTGTTAGAACTTCCCTTTTTCAATATTTGTGCAACTTTATCTCGACCTGCAAGTTGCACGGTGACGCAAATCCGTCCCCATGCTCATAATAAACAGAGGAAATCTATTCCCCTCTAAAACGAAAACACAATTAACTTCAGAGGCGATACTTCATCCGCAAGGCCCCTCAAGATGCACACACGCTGGGCACCGGCCAATAAGATTTTATAATCAGGGACTTTGCTTACAAATGATCCTGCGCTTGGTCCCCGCCCCCCCAAAAAAAATAAAAAAAAAGAAACAAAACAAAACAACCCAAACAAACAAACAACAACAAACGAACAAACCGATTTTTAGTATCTCTGATCTGATAATACTGTTTTTCTAAGTGTGACTGTCTGCGCTGTCTGCATTTTGAGTTTAAATGAACTGCCCTTCACTTTCTTCTCCTCTGATACTGTCTTGTCTTGATTCTGTTTTCGGGTCCCCCTCCTCCTTCCTCAAAGACTCCGATTGCATGTTTCTCTTGCATGTGTTGAAACAATGGCTTCTGAAGTTCGCATTCATTTAGTCTTGATTCATGCGGGCGGAAGGGCCGATGACCCTGACTGCCCGCTATCATGATGTTTTCGAGTGACACTTTTCCGGGTTAAATTTAGAAATGACATTTAACGTTTGCCCTCCACCGTGCAGTCAAAACAATCCAGGGAAGAGGATGTAGCAGACGCAGCACGCCTCGAGTTATTTCAGGTGCAGCTGATGAGCTTTTTCGGTGGGAAGTTTATAAGAAAACAGGGCCTCAGATCGGCCTTTACGCACAGCTTGTCACTGCACAAACTGTGAATGGCAGGGAGAGAGTGGAAACTACCAAACCCATTTTAGCCCAGTCAAGTTTCATAGCTCGGGAGAGCACTCCTGCTTTGAAAATATAAGTTCTGGCGCACATTTATGAGCCAATCTGGAAAATGTAAGAAACTGCAGAAAGTGAGTATGAGAGTAAGAATTCGGCGCATACAACGCAAAAGGAGGCGCGGAGAGAACAACGTTTTTAACGATTTTAAAGACATCAGGCCATAGGGCTTTTCGTGCCAAACAGCTTTTCATTTAAGCATTTTTTAAAGTTCTTAAAGTGACAGTACCGGTGTTCACCTTTCGAGGGTACCCCCAAAAGAAAAAAAATCTTTGGAAGGAAAAAAAATGCTGATTTCACAGATTTTACTGATGATTTGTGGAACTAATTCTTCACCTTTATCGCCCCTTTCCTCGGTGAGGCTGAATAAATGATGGCAGGTGGTACAGAGCCAGCGGTTGTGCCTGGCTCTGGTTAAGGGACTGTAAGTGCATGAGACTTGGATGAGTGTGACTGGGGTTTTCTGAAGTAGTCTGAACACAGAATATGTCATCCAAATATCGTGTGTGTCACCTTTTAGTCAAGCCCTTAATGGAAGTAAAGACTGCTTATTCCACGATTAGTGAACCTTCCCAGTTACGCACTGTACTCCAAACCTTCTGTATGAGACAGAGAAATTTTCATTTTATTGTACAGTTAGAGTTTGGCCTTCTTTGCAGGCTTAGAATTGATATGAAAAATGATAATCGTAATATTTAATACCTAACTAATCTTTCTGACTTGAACTTTCTAATAAAAAAAACAAATACAGGAAAAATAGATCTCAAAACATTTACAGTGCCTGCATATACACTATACGTGTGTATTACATGCAAAAATAACTGTAATGTGACCGTGTTCGTGCAATTTTAGTATCTTTTAAAAAATCATATTTGTAGTGCATTTGGTTTTATGGGGCAGAAGAGCAAGAGAACAAGTGAGGGTGAGTGTAGGGGGAGGTTGAGTGAAATCTGGGCTGGGGGAATCACGTTGGGTCTCACCTACTGTGAAGGTTTTAGGACTGACTTCACTGTGTGCATGCACTGGGTTTGGTGTGTTCTCATCCTTCTAAGGGTGGTGTGCGCATTTTTCGGCTGCAGAACTGGTGCGGAGGCATCCCTCGGGCGTCATAGCTTC